GGGGGCGTGTGAGTCACACTGACCCCATGGCGGTGAGGGTGTTGTTTTATGTGCAGAAGTGACAGGGCTCCCTGGTCTCCTACTGGTCTGTGAGTGAGCCGCCTTGGCAGGGAACCCTCCAGCCCCATCAAACCTTCGGGTGACTGTAGCCCAGCCAGCGCCTGGATGAAAACCTCCCCAGAGGCTGTGATTCAGAACCTCCCAGCCACGCTGCTCCCAGATTCCTGACCCCCAAAAACGGTGAGTCCGCCGGTGCTTACGGCTTTAAGTCACTGAGTGTTGGGAGACATTTGTTACGCAGCAGGAGACGGTTCCCCGGGAAGGGCTGCATGAGCGGTAGGGGCAGCGGGGGCACAATTTGAGTCCGTTTGGCAGACGAAAAGACCGAGGCTCAGAACGGTGAGACGACTGGCCTGGGGTCACACGGCGGGGGAAGTGGGGAGCCACGATTGGAACACATGCACGCGGCTCCGTGGCAGTTCTGCAGAAAGGAGGCTGGGGGAGGTGGGGAGACTGGATGGGGAGGCTGGGGAGGGGGTCGGGCGGCGCGGGCAGTCTTCGCTCACCGTCCTCGGACACCTCCTTCCACTCGGGGTTGGGGAAGCCGTACTGGCCCAGGCGGATCCTCCTCTTCATGCCCGGGGAGATGGCCTGGCCCGTGTTGGAGTAGAAGGGCGGGAAGCCACACAGGCTGGGGGAAGGCAGGAGTCACTTGGCACCGTGGGGGCCAGCCCGGCCAGAGCAGACCCAGGCTCCTCCCCAAGCCCCTGGCCCGGGAGACAGGCAAATAGACTGATGGACGCCCTAGCACTCACAGCAGTTCCTGGGACCCCCACCCCCAGGCACATCCATCCAGAGGGTGGGGGTGGGAGGGGGGGCACCCTTCGGAGGTAGCGGGAGGGGCATGTCGGGACCTGAAGTGCAGCGTTGGCGAACAAGGCCTGACCCACTCCACCCCTTGCTCAGGATGTGTGTGAGCAGAGTGGGTCCCCAGGGGGTGCAGGAGAGGGGGGCCACTCACAGAATATACATGATGACGCCCAGGGACCACATGTCGCAGGACTTGTCGTACTTCTCCGGACCCAGGACCTCGGGGGCTGCGGGAGCAGAGCGCGAAGAAGAAAGGCTCTTGGTGCCCGGGGTGGAAGAGCCCAGGAAGCCTGGGTAAGGCGGGGAGCAGGTGCCCGGCGGAGGGAGGGAGGGGCCGAGCCCACTAGTGTCTGGCACCTCTCAGGGAGGCAGCATGTGTGTGAGTGTGAAGCTGGGGAGGGGACACAGCTCGGGCAGCATCAGGCCCCTTCTGGTTGGGAGTAACAGCCCTCTCTGGGGCCCTGAGCCATCCTCTGCTCAGGCAGGCTCAGTCAGCCCTGTCTCCAGGGGGAGGTAGGGTGGGGTGGGGTTGCCCTTGCCTCCCTGGGTCACAGGAGAGGGAGGGCAAGGAGCGGGGCTCTGAATTCCAGAGGGACCCCAGGGCCTTGGTCTTCCCATCTGGGCAGTGAGCGGTGGGGAGTCCAGAGGTGTTCTAAGTTAAAACACTGGAAGCTCAGCCTAATGCGTCAGGGCACGCTCTTAGCCAGCAGCCCAAAGCCCTCAAGGAGGCCGTCTCTAAGGGAGAAGAGTCCTCCCTAAAGCACAGTGACCACTCCCCTCCCTGGCCCCTAAGGAGGGGGCACTTTAGCAGGGCTTTTGCAGACCTGGGGGCTGCCCACTCGCAGGGAGTGGGGGAGCTTTTCAAGGAAGCATGAGTAAGTGCATCCTCCCAGGCCCCCTGGTTCCCCCGGGCCTGCAGGACCCTCTCCCACAGCGCGGTGGCCGGTGCCCTGTGTCCTCGGAGCGTAGGAAGAACAGCCTGCCCACTTCCTGAACATAAATCCCAGGAAAATAACGCTGGAGGAAAACAGCGCAGTTGGGCCCCGTCCGAGCCGAAGGCAGCCTTTTATCACGTATATATTTAGAGCTGCTGTGATATCATTCAGCTCACAGGCCACAGCCAGAATTTTCCTGGATCTATTTTCAAAAGCAGAAGCTGAAGTTTGGGAGAATATTTTTGCAGCCTCTGTTCTCCCCCCTGCCCGCCGCACCCCCCGCCCACCCCACCCCCGACACACACACAGCACCCACCTCCACACAGAAAGCACTTCTCCCTCTTGCTTTAACCCCTTGGGTTCTGCCCCGGCCTGCTGGCCTCCATCCCCTCCAGCAGGGGCAGAGTGGGGGTGGGGGTGACACACTAGGACTCACCCACGTAATAGGGGGTGTAGCAGGGTGTCTGCAGGGCATTCTGGGTGGTTTCCTTGGCAAAGCCAAAGTCGGTGAGCTTGAGCACCGCATCTTTCTCCTTGGACGTGTAGAGCAGGTTTTCCGGCTGGGCCCGGAAGAGACAAGATGGGCGTGGCGTGGGGATGGAGGCCCCTCAGCCACCAAACTCAGCAGGGAGCTAGGACTGTCTTCCCACGAGGCCTTGGCCTTGGTGACCAAATGTGACTGGGGGAAAACTGAGGCAGGTGCTCTGACCAAGCCCGAGCACCAGAGCCCAGGGGCAGGTCCCACGGAAGGCTAGAATGAGGTGCTGGGAGAGGGCCACAGGCTGGAAAACCCGTGTCGCCAAGCAGGACTCCGGTCCACTCCCAGCTCTCGGGTCCACTCGGGGGGGTGGGGCTGGGGGAGGCCCCCTCTCGGACCCCAGGAGCCACCAGGAAGTGGCTCTTGCTGGTGGCAGGACACAGAGCACGAGAGGATGCAGGGAGCCGGGAGGGCTGAGTGGAGGAGGCCGCCGGGGGCTGGCCTTTAAGGAGCAGGTAGGACCTAGGACGACGGTGGGAGGAGCAGAGGGCCCTCAGCAGAGCTGGGGTTGCAGGGAGCGCTGGCCGAGAGCCAGCGGCAGGCGGTTCGAGCGTCTGTTTGGGATGGCCTGACCTTGGAAGCAGGTGTAATCTATGCAAGGGCTGCTCCTCAGTGGGTTTCTCTCTACTGGGGAAAAAAGGTCAGGGTTCTGAAGGCATGTCCGCCTGCTAGCAAAGGAGGATGGAGGCTGGCATGCTCCGTGAGGGCCACAGGCTGATGCAGACGCTGGGCCCCTCTGCCCAGGCCTCAGGAGGGAGAAACCAAGGCAGGCAACATCCTAGGCTTGGGACAGAGGGCCTGGGAAGAACAGATTTTACTCTGATGGTAGCTCACCAGACGAGTGTGTGTGCCAGTACCTGTGTGTGTGTGTCTGTACCTGTGGGTGTATGCTGTACCTGTGTGTATGTGTGTGTGTGCCTGTATCTGTACATGTTTGCCTTTACCTGTGGGTGTGTGCCTG